GTTAGCCAGGCATGTCTCAAAGTACAATACAATAAAATAATAAATAAATACATATATATATATATATGTGTGTGTGTGTATAATGTTACGAGATTTAAGCTATTTAGCCTAATCATTTATGTTTTCATGTTATAATTTGTTGTCAATTTAGAATGAAAGAGGCATAATTTATATTATTTCCTAATTTTTATGGTGGTTACGAGATCGATCAAATCGACCAAACCTGTACAGAGATTCATCAGTGAAAATAATAGATAAAATATAAACATTTTTTCTTAAGAAATATTTAATAACTATCTGGACATTATAAAGATTTTGCACATGAAATTTAAAATTTTCTGATCTATAAAAGTGTTTTTAATCATAAAATGAAAATTACTTTGCGTGTTGCCTATCAACACGCGAAAAAATAAAAAAGGCATGAGAGAAACATTGCTTTACAAACCTTAAGACTTAATAAAAAGAACTGATATTTTGCATATGAAAGCATTGTAATGTTTACTGATAATCTGCCAATCTTGCTAACATACGCTTACTAATTTAAAAGTTATAGCGTGAAAACTATAACAAGAACAAAATGGTTAGGAGGTCAGTCCACATTTTTGTTCAGCAAATAATAATAATTTAATAAGTTGTTTTCTAAAAGAGTACCTTAAATTTAGGTTATAATTCTGCTAGTTTTGATTGTTGAAATTTATTTCATTCCAATTATATTTGCCACAAAAATGTTATGTTATGGTATTTTGTACTTTATTAGTTTAAAAGCATTATTTGTAACAAATGGCACCAATTGCAAACAAACAAAAGTTAAAATGGTGATGATGTTAGTATCTGTGTAGACCACATGCTATAGTGTAAATATCTTTGTAGCCACAAGTTATAGTAGCACCAAAATCATTATATTGAAAATAATAAATATGCTGGTTGTAAAGCATGAATAGCTAAATCCCGTATGACCTTTTTTGTTATTTTAGTATGACAGTCTTTTTTTTCTCTACAAGTCAGGGTTCCCCCTCATAAAAAATAAAATTAAAGTGAAAGGAATCCTGTACCAAGAAGTATTTTCCAACTTCATTTAAAGGTATGCACACTTTCAATTATAATAGAAAATTCACTGTATAATATAAAATTATCTCAAAACATAAAAAAAAAGTATTTTAAAAATCATTTGTTAAATATAAAGTGTTTAATAACTATTAAAATGTATTATTAGAAGACACATTAATACTTCTATATGTGAGGGTTTAAGATTTTCAACTTCCCTATAGACAACTGTCCTAACAAGTAACACATAGCTAGGTCTTCAGGAAAAAAACAGTCTTTTGTTACGTATACTGTCAGAAACCTCACTGAATAGATGTATTTGGTAGGCTCCATCTCCTTGTAGCAGAGAGTACAATACATACAGTTTTTCACAAAATGTCACAACCTTTTTTCTTTAATCTACTTGACAGAAGTCTTCAACTAGAAGCTATTGATACAAATCAGAAGTTACACTATAATTAAATTATTATTCCAACTTTAAGGAACTTCAAAGCCCAAAATCCAGTTACATTTCCCTAATAAGGTTGAAATTCAAAAAGCCTGAGCACGGCTTTCTTAGAACCATTGGACTGAAAAGTAGAGTAGAATATGCAGTTTTAAATAGCACCATAAAAATATTGGTTCCTTTAGCACTGGTATTCTAAACTGGCTTAGCATGTGACTTAAAAGACACAATCAAAGTAGGAGAGTAACATACAAAAAGAGAAAAACACTAAAAATGGATTAATAAAAACTGCAAAGCATTTAATACAGTTGTTAAAATAATTTACTCAATTAGGGACAAAAGAAAACAAAGAAGACACTTTGGTCTTTTAATCAATAAGAATGGGCTGCATTCTTTTTAATATGTCAAATTTTAACACAGCTCTGCCACTTCTTCATGATGTTAAAAATTATACTTTTGCTCATATTAATATCAAAAAGTAAAATATTTAAAGGTTAAAAAATATCAAGTGTATCATAAGATAAAAGTACATTTTTATAATAAAACATGTTTGACTCAAAACACTTAAGTTTTTATTCGCAAGAAACGTAGAACGAAACCAAAAGTGTATCTTAATTTACTAATCACAACTAGCTTGTGATGCATATGTTCTAATTCAAAAACAAAATATACCACAATTTCATTCTGAAACTATCACAATAAAAGGCTAAATTTTGGTGTAATGTAATTGAAGGGTCACATTTATACAGATTAAAGAGAACATACCACAAGAGAAGCAGCACCATGCATGAATCTTGCATTACTATATACACCTTCAACCTAGAAAGTGAAAAGTTTAAGCAGGTTAAACTACATGAACAAAATGACTCCTACTTTACACTGTGAGTAGAACAATTATAAGTATATTATTAGAAGATAAATTTAAGCTTTCCAGAAAAATATAAAAACTACAGAGAATGAGCATGTTCCATGTTCAATAGATCCTACTAGAAAAGTTGTCTGGATACATATATATGTAATAAGAGGCCACCAACATTTGTCACAGTACACATTTTAAACCAAATCATTTTCCCTAAGAAAGGAAAATCTTTGTTGAATGGTACATAAAAAAAAGTCAAAAAAATATTATTTATGATTTATTAGAGAATTATGAAAGTTTTCAAAACATGTTAACTTTTAATTTGAAGTTCGTGTCACGTGAAATTTTTAAAAATTAAAGATGTTTTAATTAAGCTTTTTCATACTATTAGTCTTAACATGTTTAACCAAATAATAATAAAAAAAACAGGACTATGCTATATCATAAAAGTAATTTTTTTCTTCATTCATTAGATGAATAGAGATAGTACAGAGGTAGCAGTAGTCCTACTATGTAAAAATTTCTTTGAGTTGACCTACTTACTCTCATTTACATATTTTACAGTATGTTATCTGAATAGAAACTGCCATCATGAAATGGGTGATTTGCCTGTTCATGTGGTATGTGTAGTTCATATAAATCCAACTTGTTGGATCAGTATATGGATAAGAAGAGTCAGAGTTGATTATGTTTTAACTGCTAGCTTTGATAATTGATCTCAATGGGAATGTTCTTTTTATATTTTTTATTTACAAAGAAGTAATGTGGGTCAGCATTATTTTATTTGAAAGTACAAAATAACTAACCCAACCTTTTTTTTTATATAATGACTGTTAGCACTCTAGGTTTTGCCAAACTCTATCAATAAATAGTCTTATTTTATTCAACTTGATGCCCAATGAACAGCATTCAACTTTAGTGCCTAATGACAACTGCCTCATCCTGCTCATCATATTCTGATTCAGTTTGTCATATCTTATATATTTAATGCATTAAAAATGGAATGAGGAAAAAAATCTACTCAAACTACAACACAGTCAAATTAAATTTGATTTCATACTGCAAAATAAATACTATAGCAAAAATATATTAAAAGTAGAGGTTTTACATCAACATGAAAAAAAAAAACAATTTGCTAAGAAAATCATATTTGTTTTCCTGCATCACTATCCTCTTTCCTAAATAATCTTAACATTTCGCTCTTGACATGTAATAATTAATATGGTACACATGTAATTATAAATAACATTTATGTTTACATTGAAAATGTAATTGATATACACTTACATGGACTGAAACATTCTTGTCTAGTGGTCCTTTTGGCCTGGAAGGTTTGCTGTTAAATAAAATCAAACTGAACTTGGTTGTACGACATATTTAAAGAATATACACAATATGTTCATTAGAGCAGCATGATTAATGGTATTTGACAACTGATTAATTGATGGGCCCATCAATCTATGGGATGCATTCCCCCATATGAACAAATAAAAATAATTGCCTTCCCTCTATTCAGCAGTTCAAAATTAGTGACAGTTGCAGGTAGCCTTAACAGTCTTTTCATAACTACAACAGAGCCAGCAAGTTTTGTGGCAACAGGAATCAAAGCTAAGACCCTTGAATCAATGGAGTAATTTACATGACACTGATCGTTGTATATATGTCGATTGATATATTCAATCACCCAGTCTTAAATGTTTGTGTTTTTGTATATATATGTACACACAAATAAATATATATATATACACAACTCCAGATATATCATCACCAGACTACAGTCAAGAATCTACTTTTGACTCTAGTAACTGTACTTTAGACCCAATGTTTCAAATATAGTTGTACATGTACAAATAATAACTTGCTATCAGATAATACTTCTTAATTAATGAAAAGTAATTTGGCATGTAAAGCACAAAAAAGTAAACTCAATGATCTAAAGTTTTTTTATATCTCTATATTGAAACCAGATATATTAAAGGTTCATTGTTGAACATAAATTAGCTTGTAGCTATGAGAGAGAAATTTTTTAATTAAATATAAGAAAGCAACAACAACAACAAAAAAAAAACACACCAAAAACTGAAAATTAATCAAACTACATGTGCAATGAAATTGCAACTTTACGATAAATGCTTCAAGAGCAATAATTATATGATCATTTTACTCAATTTGGAGACTACTCTTCTGAGGCTTAATGTTGTGAGACATTACAGAAAAGACAAAAACTTTACATTTTATTATTATTATGACTGTTTTTGCATGAGACTGCTAGTTTCTACTGACTAATGTAATATTCTTTGAAGAAACTATTACAGTGAAACTTAATTCATAAAAAAATTTTGATTTACAACATACTGACTGAAGGATTTTAACCTTTAAACCAAAATTAAACTGGTTTAGCATGTAATTTAAAAGACACAGTCAAAGCAGGAGAGTAACATATAAATCCAACAATCCTGGTCATCCTATTATTTCTAATTGTGGTACGCCTACTAAAAACTTATCTACTTATGTTGATCACCACATCAAAGATATCCCCCCATGTTTGATGATGTACATGAAAGACACTACACATTTTCTAAACATGATCTCTGACATTAACAGCAATGGAAAACTTCCTTCAAACACTATTCTCTGTACTATGGATGTTTCTTCTCTATACACAAACATTCTCCATGACTAAGGCTTAAAAGCCCTCGAATCTTCTCTGCAAAAACTAGACAAACCCAACACTCAAATTATTACAGACTTAGCTGAACTAGTATTTACATTTAACGGTTTTGAATTTAATAAATTCTATATTCAAACAAACCCACAGCTATGGGCACCAAGATGGCACAAAACTATGACAACATTTTTATTGGAGACTTAGAGATGAAACTTTAGGAAAACTGAACAGAAAAACCAATGTTTTGGAGATGCTGATGACATTTTTTTCAATTGGGTAGGAGACGAAGATTCATTACTGTCCTTTTATAGACATGCTAACACCTTCCATAGTTCTATTACATTTACTCTAGACTTCTCCACTACCCAAATAAGTTTCTTGGATGTAAATCTAACACTAAAAGATGGTGTTATACACTCTGATTTGTACCGAAAACCAACAGATAAACCACAGCACTTAAATAATCAAAGCTGTCACCCTTCACACACCAAATGCAATATCACATTCAATCAAGCACTTAGATTATGGTCTGATAGTAAGAACTATGATTGTCACATTAATTATTTGAAACAGACTATGACTGAAAGAGGTTATAAATAAAACACTATCACCCAACAATTTGAGAAAGCTAACAATATACGACGTACATCTGCCTTGAAACAATCACTTAAAACTAATTCTTCTCGTGTTCCGTTGGTTATTACCTATCACCCAAACTGAAAAATCTACTCGGATACTAAAGAAACACTTTTATCTCCTTCAACTTAATGATCGATTAAAATCTTAGTTCATGTTAAAGCAAACTTTAAGTCAACACCAGGTGGAAGTCAACCTTGCAATAGCAAGCAATTATCAAACCTGTAAGTTCATGCAGGCAACAAACAAATTTTCCGATAAAGACAACCAAAAGCAGTTCAAAATCACTAATTCCATAACCTGCTCTATAAAAAATGTTATTTACTTAATCCAATGTCGAATATGCAATTTCCAATATGTAGGTCAAACCAAAACAACTTGAAACCGACACCAGGTGGAAGTCAGCCTTGCAATAGCAACCGATGTCAAACCTATAAGTTCATACAAGAAATAGACAAATTTTCTGGTAAAGACAACCAAAAGCAGTTCAAAATCACTAATTCCATAACCTGCTCTATAAAAAATGTTATTTACTTAATCCAATGTCAAATATGCATTTTCCAATGTGAAGGTCAAACCGAAACAACTATATGGGAACGTTTTAATAACCATAAATCAACAATAAAAACAAAAAGAGAACTTCTGGTTGCAAAACACTTTAACATGCCTGGACACTCTCTTCAAGACATTAAACTTATGGGTACAGAAACAAATCCCAGGGTTGTTGACCTTCGCAAGTCTCTGAAAAGATTTTCGAAACTAAATTCATGATTAAACTTACTTTACATTATTAGTATTATTCTTCCTTAAATTTCTCTCTCTATATTGGTAAGATTTCCTATATATCGAGCTACATTATTATTTTCTCTATTTCCCACCACCTTTTGCCATTATTTAATTTTACTTATATTGTTTATTTTATTTTTGATTTTATCTTTATAGAAATTAGTTAACAATTCTTATAACTATTGTCCCACATAAGTCTTTTTATCTCTAGGTTATGATTGGCTAGCTCTAAGACCAACTCATATTGAACATCCGGTTTACGTGACATCGACATCTGAGCCTATATATTTCATCACACTCATTAAACACAACCCTTTATTCTCCTGAAGAAGAATAGTCAACTATTCGAAAGTGCTCGAGTTTTGGGTCTCATTTTGAAAATATTACAACTTTTGTAGGTGATCTTGTGTGCTAACTACTTAACCTGGATATAAAAGGACAAAAACACTATCCTAAAAATGTAGCAATACCAATTTGATAGCATTTAATATAGTTGTTAAAATAACTTGTACAATCAGGAACAAAAGTAAAAAATAAAGAGGACACTTTGGACTTTCAATCTAGCAAGAATTAAAGTAATCTTCAATTCAATAATCTCTATATATTGAATTTCTAAAGTACATCACATACCTAGTTGCATTTGACCTGTTCTTCCTCTTTGTATTACTATTCATCATGATGGAATGGAGGTTCTACAACACTAATGTTGGCTCGTATAGTGTAATATCAAAATAAACAAAACTTATCTTCTTGAAGTAGCACAGTTCAAATAGTTCTGAAAGAATGATCACGACACAGTGGCACTTAAAAGTTAAAGTAAGTTTCCTCTGCAAGGACCCTTTAGCAAATGTCAGGTTTGCAGATTATCTCATACATGTAATATTATGCAGCTGAAACATGAGAAAGAACAAGCTTGGAAAGTAATCTACTTTTGACAGAAGCCAGCAGTTTAATTTATATGTAACAAACTATAATTTATAAAACTATAAATACTTTCATCAGATATAAGAACTCATTTATTAAATATGATCAAGTTGTTTTTCTTTGTTCAATCCACTCTTACAGTTGCAGTTTAAAAATAAATACTTGAATTCTTATTTGTCAACAAAGACATTCTAGTCACTTTAAAAAAATTTCCACAATTTGTTAAAGTTCTAATTGCGTTGTGATGTACAATGTGTTTACAATATGTTAAACTCAAAATTACATAAGTAAACATATAGTAAAACTAAGTTAAAGTCAGACAGTTTTGAGAATAACACTTTGCTAACCTTATAACTACATCTGCCTTTCGACTTGTTTGTTCAACACAAAACTATGAAAAGGCTATAGCCTGCAGTTAGTTACCAGACTTTAGAATGGTAACTTGGTATTCAAACTGAGTCATACACACAGTCACTATAGGCTGAGTGAGTATAAGTGTAATAGCTAAGTTAGTAAGTATCACTATCAATCACCATTTCATAAGATAAATTAAAAGCTAAATTTATACCTTATTTTATTAATTTCTAATCAACTTAAAAATAAAACTTAAAGGAGATTTTATGTTTATCGAGATGTACAATGTTATTTAACTTATTGTTAAGTGATAATTTCGTTAACTAGACGTAGCTAGTGTCACAAAACTACGTATCTTAATTTTAGTTCAGAAGTAAAAAGTATTTAACCTCTAAGAGTAAGAGAAAGACTTGAGTAATTAGTCTCTTCGACAACAAGTCTAATGCCAAAGCTCTCAGTTTTATATTTAACCCTATTTCGATAAGGACCTTCACTGGACTTCGTGTGAATTAGTATCCAGTACTAACACAGCAACACAAGAGATGCCATATGAAAGCAAACTTTTAGTATTATAAAATTATATCAAGCAGCTTTTTTTCCTCACGAAATATTAAACTGTTTAGTTACTTCAAAACACAATCACTTGGAAGTTTCTACAAAAAACTTCTCGTAAAATACCACTAAACAAGACAAATTGAAAGATGGCCGCATGGCGTCCATCAGTCACGATACTTTTGAACTACTTTCTGCAGGCAAAGACAAGTTCTTTCACTGGTGCAATTTTATAATAAATTTCAATAATAAGTTACTATCGTTACCTAACCTGTAAATAAATATATTTATAAATACAAGTGCAAAGAATTTATTTCTAATTTATCATTGACTAACAAACGCATATAGTAATGTAGACAGGATGATGACGTCAAATAGTCCAACGCAGTGATACACCAACTTTACAAGTCCTAATTCTGATTCTAGCCTACATGTAATAGTAAAATAAAAGAAAGAAGCAAAATATTTGTTAATATGTGATAACAGTTCACATTGCGTTATTTACATGCAGTAGATTACAACAAACAAAAACAATACACTAAAATGAAATTACCATTTAAGTCTTAGATATATAATGAATTAATTAAAACCACATTTCAAACTATATATGACTCGCACATATGTGCCACAAATACAGGTATATCTAAAATGTGTGTTTGCTTAATTCTGTTGCAGTCCTTATCTTTTTCTCTAAGATAAGGTTTCTCTTCTTCTTCTTGCTTTTTTTTTTTTTGCTGTACATTTTACCCAGGTAAGTTTTGTCTGGGTAAGTCGTATGTATTTAGTTAATCCTAGCTCTTTATGGTACTAAATGATGGCTCCACGTCCAGTGCGTGCTGACCCGTTAGTCTACATAACATATTTTACGTAAAATAGAACATAGAACAACAGTTGCAAAAAAATAGTTAACTATGTCACAGTTACTCTCACCCTTCTGTAATTAGTATAGAATGTGTTTTTATTCAAGTATTTTTTCAAATTTTAATACAGATATTTTGCAGGCAGTTATAACATCTTTCTAAAACTGAATGTGCAATGGTCGTAAGATATACTAATCCTTTTACTTAAATAAAGGTTACTAATTTGTTGGCGTCAGTGTTCTTAAGTACCAAAACTATATAAAAAAAGGAAAGAGGAAAAACTTGTTAAGTTGCTTAGTTAAACATTTTTTTTTCTTCTTGAAATGCAAATTAAAATGTAATTGCAACTACAAAATAGGTAGTACAACAGAAGTTTAGTTTAACTTAAATTGGACCAATGACTACATATGAAGTTATGCGTTTTAAATACGATTATCTCAGTCGTTATGTTATGTAGCAATGCTGTGGGAGTAGAACCTATTGGCCAAGCCAAGCGCTAGGTTCGAGGCAAAGGCCAAGTAACTGTACCACAACCAGCCGTGGTAAAGTACTACAATGCTGGAATGGGAGGAATTGATCTGGTAGATTGCGCCTTATCAGAATTACGGGGGCACTTTAAGAAAAAAAAGTGATACTAGCCTCTGATGGTAAATGCTTCAAACATTGGTTTCGCGTACTGTTTTCAGATTTCAAGCTGTACAAGTATTAGTCAGAAGGATTTCCGGAAAACGCTTGTTCAAATCGTGGTAAAGCAGTCATCTTCAAGACCCTCCGCCCTCTCAAGACAACTGCTGAAGTTCGAAGAGATAATAGCGGTCATTATCCAGTTCAAGGACCTGTCAGAGGCAGAAGCCTTTTTAACACTTCAAACTGCTCGGTGTGATTTTCTTAGGGGGGCAGTTCGTACTTATCAGCTATAGGTATAGAAATTTATAAGTTTTTCGCATTACTTGAGGCCTCGCAATATTAGGGGTCCGTCGGTGCATTGCCCCGACTGCACCGACGTTAAATACGCCACTGGTCAGATGATGTGCATACTGTTTACGACATCGAGGTCACGTGACTAGCATCACGCCACGTCATTCTCGAACCTTCGTGAATTGTCGGGAGATTACTAGATATAGTGTAGTCTTGCATATTGTTGCGTCAGCGAGTCACGTGACTACTACGACGCAACGTTTCTAGAACTATCATGTACTTTGGCGAATGTTCAAGTTCTTACTAGATATAGGGTGGGCGGATATATATATAGGAGGGGACAACGTGACGCGGTAAGGTGTAGATAGTGAGTAATTGAACTGCAGTCACAGGGTATTGTTGAAGTTAACGTTCGTTCGTTACATTGTTGTTTTAGCGCGAGTATTAAGATTAAGTGTATCGCAGAGTTATATCCGGAAAGAATAAACCAGTTTTATTAAGTAAAGACTTGTGTCGTTAAAGTTTCGTTGGAACGAAGTTACGGAAAAATCAATTAACAAACGGAGACGTAACAATATATAAGACTGGCCACAAAGCGACGAGGAGGTGATGAGTAATTGAATGTATGCGGACAGAATATTGTTGCCCTCGTGAAACGTTTGTTATAGAGCGACTGTCGAAATTAAGTGTATCGTAAATTTGTATTCGGAAAGAATAAGCCAGTTTTATTAAGAAAGAACTTGTGTCGCTAAAGTTTCGTCGAACGAATTTACGGAAAACTAACTAGCGAACGGAGACGTGACAACACTATAAGAAAAATTGTCGCGTGCAGTATATTAATTGCGAGAAATATCTCAATATCAGCATGTGCTTCTAGATTGTTCATGAAAAGTAGAGATTTATATAACCTGAAGGACAAAAAAGAGGGCTTGTGAAAATATTGTTACGTCTGTGTTCGTTTGTTAATTTTTCGTAGAAATTCTTTCGAGAAACTTCAGCGATACAAGTCTTTTCTTAAATAAAACTAGTTTATTCTTTCTCAGTTCAACTTTGCAATACACTTAATTTCCACAGTCACTTTAACTTCAACACACGCTATAATTCACAACGAAAGATTCACGCACTTTATTTACTACCGTGCTTGACTCAATTGTCCGTCTCTATCTCTGCCTGTCTGCAATTATCTATCCCGTCACTTATTTTGCCGGCTTATATATACAAAAATAGAGGGCGCGTAGAGAAGACTAGAGTTGCCAGGAACAGACATGATCCTTCTAGAATCTCATGACGTGTTACTAGAGTCACGTGACTTCTGCTGTCGTAACAATATTGATCAGTGGGATTTATTATTTTTATAAGTTTATTACAAGACGTAGTAGTCCCTTTCAGTATAACAATATGAGAAGTCGCGCATTAAATTTACTTGTTTTATCTTTAATTCATGCATGAATTTGACAAATGACTACATTCTAGATACAAAGGAAGGATTTAAGCAATGAAAATGAAACAGTTAATCAGGGCCACAAAACATGAGAGTGCACCAAATTTGTAGGTATTTGGACTTGCAGAACGTGATATGGTTTTTAACTGTTTAACTACAAAAAAGTTTGTACCAATCACTTCATGTCTAGAAACTATGTAAGATATACTTATTAAAGAATTATTATTTTTTTGGATTTGACACATTTTTGTCTGTATGGTTCCAACTGACTTCTTATTAACAGTTTGAAATGTATTAGTATAGATGAGAATGATGATTAATGTTATTTTATGATGCTGTGACATTACCAAACCAACAAATTAACTATTCATCCAGTACTTATAGCTGGTCTTAAAATTTTTGATACATAGTAAAAACTAAAAAAAAAAAGATTATTTGCTTTTTCAGCACTGTTGCACAAAACTACAAGGACCTTCTGTACATAGTCGTCCTTAATTATAAATTAACAGACTGGAGGAAAAGTATTTAATCAATAGCATCCACCATCACCTCTTGGGCTACTTCTGTCTAAATGAATAGTGTAATTTAACCACCACTCTTACAGCGCAATTATGTCCTTAAAGTATAGAGCACATTTTGGGAGCAATGAGATGTGAACCAAGAATCACGACAGGCCCTCAAACAAATTAACTAAAGACTAGAAACAATTGTTTCACTTTGCAACAGAAGCAACTTTTTATTCTTATCACAATAACTATTAAAGATGGCAGACAAATACTATTGTTACGTCTCTGGTCGTTTGTTAATTTCCGGTATAATTTCTTCCCGAGGAACTTCAGTGATGCAAGTCCTTTCTTAAATAAAACTAGTTTATTCTTTCTCAATACAACTTTGCAATACACAGAATTTCCACAGTCACTTTAAAGTTAACACTTTTATAAACACACGCTATAGTTCACAACGATTCACGCACTTTACTTACGGTGCCTACAGCTTGCTTGACTCAATTATCTATATCTATATCTGTCTATCTGCAATTATATCTCCTCTTTATTTGCCAGGCATAGAGGGCGTCTGGCAAACACTCGAGCCTTCATGATCCTTCTAGAAACTCATCACGTGTTACTAGCGTCACTTGACTTCGGTTGTCGTAACACTATCATTGCAGTTGGCCAGCTTCTCAGTACGTATAGCAACTGACAAGACATAACTGTATTTAACAATAATCAAAACAAAATCTTACCATTCACCAACTTTGCTAGGAAATATATTCAAGTTCAAGCTCTGCTAGGATTTCGCAGTATGTCCCTTATTCATCTCAAAATACCAGTCTCGTTGCCTCTCTATCTCTGCATATTCCTAGCACGTTAAATGTTATGTTTTAAAGGCTTATCTACATATATATATATAAATTGCCACAGTTAGCATTAGCCTTGACCATAAGTGACTACTTAAGGGCAAGATTTAATATGATTCAGAACAAGGTGCGTCCTCGTAACATAGAACATATAAATAAGCACTGGAAACCTATGCCAAAATTTTGAAAAATTACCGTGAATAAAGATACGTGAATCTTTTAAGTTACAAAAGAGTTACACCTATTAATATTTGCATCTCACAAACCACCCTTCCTTACCTTAGGAATGATCACTGTCAACTTCTACAAAGCATGCCTCAAATTACAGACATTTTTGCAATGAGATGGTGCATGTAACATCTTATTTGAACTAACCAGTTCAATAGATAACTACAGTGAAAGGAACTTAGCTGTTTTCTTGACCAATATGTCTATAAACTACACATAACATATGTTAAATATATTGAAAAAATTACATTAAAAGGGAGGTAGAAAACATATAGTATGCCTACATACCACAAAATGGATACTTAGCCTGCAGAGAGAAAAGTACTCTCTCATTCTCTCTTTTTTAATTTCCTTGAAAAGTGAAGGTATTATTATTATATTGCATTTTATGTTTGTAATGTAATATAATGCATAGAGTGATTGTATCCTGTCAACTAAAGAT